TGTTCCTTCTAATCCGTTTGCCAAGCGACTCGGGTGGATCACTCGGGGCGCTGGCAGCAATAAACATGTTTTGACACACATGGCCACCACTGTTGACCGCATGTGGGCGAGTCGACATGGCCGTGATGTGGTCTAGGGTTTGTGTACCCAAGTGTGTGGGGGGGCCTGCTGGATGCTCTTGTGGCTCGCTCCCCTGTCTCGATGCTCATGTTTTCTTTCCTTCTTCTCTGGTGGGCTCCGGGTCTCTTGGAGGGTGGGGGGGTCTGAGGGGTGAGCTTTGGCTTGCCGCTCTTGTTTCGCACACGCTTGGCCGGGGTTTCTGCGAGAACAGTTTCCTGGCTGTCAGGCCTGACGCCCCTTTGGGGGAAGCTAAGGATCATGGTTAAGCTATGGTCCCTCTACTCCTTGCTGTTCCGCGACAAGGGCGGCGGCAAGTTCAACTTTCTACTACTGGAAACGGGCACTCTCCATAAGCCTTTGCAGCTCTCCGGCCCCCCCCCCCCACACATGGACCACGAAGTGTGGCTGGCGGTTGTCGGAGATGGGACTCGCGGGAGTTCCGCCCATGCCCTTGCTGCGGCACTTGCTTCCGGCCGTAAGAGGCCCAGTTACTGTACAGACCTCCTGGGAAAAGAAGAGGGAAGTAGTGAGCGCACGTTTTTCTGGACTGTAGGGTTGCGATTCCCTTCGCAGGTGAGGAAGATTTAGGGTCTCCGGGCTTCCCTTCCCCCGTCGACCCCTGCATGTACCCGCCAAGGTACTGAAGCGGAGAAGAAAGAAGTAGGAGGCGTGGAGAGGTCGAGCTGTAAGCCCGTAAGCCCTCACCGGCTTTGCAGAGGGAAGCAGGTGAGGCGACCAACTAGCGAAGCTGGCTCGGGACCAGCCACCTCGCGAGAAAAAGATTGCAGTGTCTGCGTGCCGGGTGGTAGGGCGGGGGCACGCAAACGTGTCCGGTTGTTATGCCTTGCACGAAGTGCCAATAATATCCAATAAAAAATTTGCCGGAGGCTGGGTTACTTGATTCCTGTGACCGCTTCCGAGCCGTGGCTTGAGGGTGCCTCCGGGAACCAGGCGGGGTCTCCACCCCCCTACTCAACCCTGGCATGCGGATTTTCACTGCTTCAGTTTCCCCTGAGCAGCGCTGCGGGGGAACCACGGCAAATTTCGAGTAGAATCAGCAATGAGGCTCCATCAGGGGAAACACGGCTACGGGGATCCCTTGCTAACCTCTTTGGGTGAAGCTCGGCGTTATCCCTGCGGGGTCGAGGCGCGCTCCTCCAAGCTTGGTTCGGCTTGTGGCGGAGCTGGAAGATTTAGGGTCTCCGGGCCTCCGGGGTTCCCTTCCCCCGTCGACCCTCTGTGGGCTACCTCTCGTTGGGGGCGAGGACCCCCCTGGGGAGCACCTGGGACCTCTTTTAAAGAGGGGGAGTTGCTCAGAGCGAAGAAAACAGAAGTAGGAGGCGAGGAGAAGACAGGCGGACCCCACCGGCGAAGGCTGGTGTGGGGCTCAGTCGAGCTGTAAGCCCTCACCGGCTTCCCAAAAAAACCCACCAGCGACCAACGGCGAAGCTCGCTCGGGACCAGCCACCTCGCGAGAAAAAGATTGCAGTGTCCGCGTGCCGGGTGGTAGGGCGGGGGCACGCAAACGTGTCCGGTCCGGTTGTTAGACGCGCATCGCTTCCCCTGCAGAGGTTGCGGAAGAGCGGCTCCAGGCTTGAGGCATCGGATGTGCCGGGGCCGATGTGGCGATGCGTGCCGGGGTAAAGTCCCTGCGAAGGTCCTTCCAGTCAGCCCTCGAGAGTCGGTGGCAAGCAGCTTCCGCGCCTTCGAGCAGGCTTGGCCTGCGGCATGCCTAAGACATTCTCAGCCTGCGCCGTGTGGACCACTCTGGTAGACCTACTAGCTTCAGGCAGTCGTGAGCATGGGCAAGCACGAAGAGGCGCGGCATGAGTTTGCTGAAGCAGCTCCACGAACTTTAAAACTTTCGTCACTGGTCCGCAAGGCGGCAAAATTTTGCCGCGAACAGCGAATGCGAACTGCTGCAAGCAGCTGCCCTAGTCTTCCAGTGTGATGCAGAGCTCCATCCTTGCAGCGACTTCATTCCGTTGGTGTGAGGGCAACGAAGCCCGGCGGATTTGCCCGGATAGTCGATACTGACTTTTCCATTCCTTGCACGATTCCTGCAAACTCAGAAGTGCTCGAGGGAAAAGCAGCTGCATTGCGGCAGTAACGGAACTGCAGCGGTCAGATGCTTGCCCGAGGTTTCGCTTGCGCGAGAGGGCATTCGGCAACGTGGGGGAGCCAGTTCTTTTTGTTTAGGTACTTGAGACTTGAGTTCTCATGTTTGTCGTTGGCAGAAGGAAGCGAATGGAAACCTTGAAGAATAGCATGCCTAGTGCAGCGATGTTGTTCTAACCGGCACCTAAACAAAGAAGAGCAGCAGAGGAGCTTGTTCAGCCGGTGCTGAAACGCAGACATCTTGTCGTGGCGAAGTGTCTGAGCTCATGGCCAGGTGCCGCAACTTCGCGACACTTCACAGAGAGGTGAACGATATCCGAGAACGCCTCGAGGTAGGTTGTTGTTTGCTCAAACTTTCTGAGAGACTGCATATGCAGCGCAATGCGAATAGTTGTTGGACGCGGTGCACAGTGCAGCACACTCCCGCCCCCGAATATCAGAATAACTGCAAGCACATGAGAAGATATGACAAGAATTTAGCCAATTTTCAGCTGCCCTAGCAAGGAACACATAACCGACCGACTGACCCGACAGCCCCGACAGGGCCGGATATGGAAGGTTCCCAAATCTGCCTTGGAGGATCCATCAGCCCGTGAGCGGATAATGGCGTCCGGCACCTGGCAGAGAAAAGCTATAAACAACTTCGATGAACCGCGGCCGTCTTGGTTGCTGCTCTTTCCGTGGTTTAGCTGACGACTTTTGGAGGGAGAGGAAGCAGCATACTGTAGCACGATGCACGCGTCATAGCGCTACCTGGGCGAGGTGTGTCCTGTCGACCAGACGCCAATCTTTACGAAGCCTTAGGAAGCTCCAGGTTGATGGCTCGTTTCTGTACTCAGGCTGACGAAAGTTGCTTCAAGTTGAAGATGTTTTATTCTCTGAGGGCTCCTGAGACTCCTCAGGAACCAACCTAAACAATTGTCCAGCTTCACAGTTCAATGCCTGGTACAAGACGCTTTGGCCGGGCACGTAATGTGACTTTCTGGGCCCCTCGCCCTTAGAGCCTTAAGGTAGCTTCTGGCTTCACCGGGGTAGCTGCTTGCAGCGCGGGTCTTCGAACCTCATTGGAGATGTGCTTAGGCTTAGGCCTCCTCCACATGATAGGCATCTTGCGGCAGCCAGGAAACACCACGTCACCTGCGGGCCAAGGTCGGATGCGTGGAAGTACTACGCCCAGCACCTGGAACAGGCTGTGGCCGACTTGTGCGGTGTGGGCTTGGGTGTCATTGCTGCTCATCAGGAGGCGATTGATTTGCTTGTCTGTGTGGCGCTGCAGATCCTGGAGATGCAAAGTCGTGTTCAAGAGAGTTGCATGATTATGTCTGGGTTGCCGATCCCGATCCTATCCCATCATCCTAGTTTGTGTGATGAGCCTGCAGGTCTACTCGGATCTTGTGTGTTATGCACATGTTCTGGTTCGTATCATCGGCAAAAAACATCTGCACCACAGCCAAGGACAACATCAAGCACCCGGTGTGGATCAGCACAAGCTCAATCTGTTTGTAGATTGCTGTTTAACGCTCTACTTAGCTACTTGTTGACTCCAATGCACTTCTTCCGACTGCATTGAACCAACATCGGTAAGCGGTTTCCTGCTCTGGAGGCTAAGCAGCTGGAGGCCGCACTAAGGCCGCAAGCAAAGGGGAGTTCAAGTCTGCGAATGTTGGGCATTCCTTCGATCGTTCGAACTCACAGTGGGTTCCTATCCATCGATCGATGCGTAGTGAAAAAGTTCTGACATTAGCTGCTTGACCTGGTGAACTGCGCTCTCCTGTTGTTCGTACATTACGCCATTACGCGCTCACATGCAGGCGCCAGCGCAAGAATATGGAGCCCAATGTCTGTGCCCAAATATGTCTTGCTCAAGACATGCCCGGCTTGATGTGCGACAGACTGCAATTTCCAACTCGTCAGACCCTCGCAGATATTCCTGTGAGCACAGAGGGAGTCAGAGCCAAGCGTAGACCCAGGTGCAAGCGTTGCACGACTCGGCCACGGGCAAGTCTAAGTGAAAGCTCCAGCAGAGTCATTAAGGGTAGGATAGATCCTGAAAATAGCAGCCTCCGTCCATTTAATCATTTTAATTACGACCCGCATCCGTTTCTCTAAACTCGCTGTCATACGCAATGTTACTTGCAGCGACCGCCTGGTTGTCACCGGTGCGCGAAGCAAACCCAAGTCTGCCAAAGTGGCGGATGCCCAAAGATGCTGAAAATGAGATACCATGCAGTATCCTTGAACCATGGCACCTTCTTACGACTGAGTACCACTATGCACCACTTATATGAAGGAACCGCAGGCCATCTGCAGAATGGAAGTCCAGAGCGGCAACACAAGACTCGCCGTTGCTGAGCGCAGACGGCGCACTCTGCATTCTCCCCTTCGCCAGGAATGTTTCTGCCACTCCCAGTTCGAAAAACTTCGCATCCGAATCCTTTCATGAGATCGCCGTCATGTTTGGAAACGGCCGTGTATGACTCGCAGATGTGAGGGAACTCCAAAGGAGATCTCCAACGCTCTTGAGGCTTCAAAGTCCGGTATCCAGCTTTCTAAGAGGTGAAAAAGGGAGCGATCGTGGTTGCAGGTCCGGCGCTGCTCAGTCTGCAGTGTGCAAACGTCGAACAGTCTGAGTCTTCGGGTGCAGGGAGCACAGAATGCCACTAGATTTTAAGATATCTTGCATTGGAGAGCAGTCGGATGACACGGGAAAAGGGGGAAATCGCTTCTGACTCTAAACGCACAGCAGCTTGCAATTTGGCCAGGAGTGTCCTGCCGTGGGTCTTCCAGCAGGTGGGATGATTGTTCGGTGTCGGCATCACAGTGCATCACACTGGCACAGATGGGTTCAAGGCGACACAGATCTATGCACATCATAGGCGATCACTAGCTCAGAGCCATCTTCGAGTGCGGATGGCCGCGAAACTGCGGCTCGAGCCACGGTGCGAGAGTCCGAAGCGAAGCTGCACAACGCTTCATGACTACTACTGTACGAGTAAAGGTTCAAGCCCAAGCCAATGCCCAAGCCACAACCTCGCTCACGAGCTTAAAGTCCAAGAGTTCCTATCTTTCTTTTGAAAGGCGCGTGGTTCACGAGCTTGATTGGTGTCCGTGGGGTTGTGCGCAACAGGCATCGGCCCAATGAAAAGAGGCCAGTAGGCACTCCCCATGGTCTCTGTTCGTAGTCTCAGTTGTTGTAGCAGGCAGCCGGATCGGGTGACGGACGCCGTTGCTGTAAAGTGATATCTGCTTTATGTACAAGTCGTAGTAATCTAATCGAATACCTTCCGGCTGTTTGGGGTCAAGGCCGGAGGAATCGGCCTCTGGCATTCGAATAATTTCGATGTGCCGACCCCCGTAGATCCTAAAGCTGCCAGGTGGATCGAATCGGGCGCATTGGTGAGCTACGGCTTTTGAAGCTTCTCGTCGAGTCGGCCATGCACCGCTGGATGCAAGCCTCTCTGGTTTGGCATGCACGGCAGGGGCGATCAGGGGTGTCAGAGGCCTCTCAGTGGCACAGCGGAAGGAATGACTGTCGGAGCCGACGGAAGCGTGTGCGGATTTGAACGGACTTGAACGATCTGTTTGTTCTTGCACCATATTCGGAAGGACTCGGAAAAAAAGTTGCCACAGAAACCCCATGCCTGTGCCCCTTACATTTGCGGGAACACGCAGCATCAGGATGAAGTTTGCAAGCCCATTGCCAGGTACACCAACATGCGGGTGGTGGGCCAGGGGCAGTTCGGGACTGCCTGTGCCTCAAATTTTGGGCGTCTTTAGCGATCACTTGCTTACCGACAGCAAGCGCCTCATGTCAATGTCATGCTTGTGATCTCATGCTCTGCTTGAGCGTTCCGATTCTGGTTTTTGGCGTCGGCCATTAATTCAGTAGACGGAGCCGGGATCAGCTGAACTAGTAGCATGTGCCGCTGACAGCGCTGTGGGTGAAGCCATGGTTCCGTAACTGCAAGCACGCGCGGATTCCAGGCAGTGCCCTATGTCCCATGTGGCTCACCGTCAGTTCTTGCAGGTGATGCAGAGCGGCGTAACTCTGGGCAGTCATGGCAACCTTCAGGCCTTCAGTCCAAAAATGGGTTCGCTTCCTGTGCTGTGCATGGTCGAACGAAGCAGTGCTGACGCCACATACGGCCTTGTCGCAGTGCCCTGCAAGTACCACCGGTGTTTTTGTTCTGGATGCAGAAGATGTCAACTTGCGTGCCTTCAATGCCGAGCCAACGGTTCAAGCTTGTCAAAGAGTGCTTTCCATTGCGCAGGTTGCCATCAAGCACATCCCGAAGCAAACAAATATCCAGGCTGCCCTGCTGCATGCATCTGACACTAGCTAGTCACTAGCTTTCCCAGACTCTTGTAGCTTCGTGGTTGTTTCACAGGATCGTTGTGTTCTGGTCGATGTCTTCAATGAAATCACCTGCTTGGACACAGTGCGCTTCGAGGAGAGCTGTCGGATGTGCTGCTCCCTGCTCCCAGTTCGCATATGCGCCCTGTAGACTCAACTTTTCTGGGGCCAGGCTCGGAAGATCAGATTCTATGCGAAGTAGAATTACCAGTTGGGGGAACGTTGAACATGGCGTAGAATATGTACTTTGAGGACCACCTCTGTCAAATCTTCGACTTCGGTGTGGAGGAGTCTTGCTATTGGATTGTGATGAAGTGCCTTGACTCAAAGCTCAGAACCAATGTGCAGTTGGCACGTGTTGGCACCATGGAATGGCCTCCGAGCTGTTGCTCGACTTGTCGGGTTAAGAGAACACGTCATGGAATTGCTGGGATACATGCAAAAGATAAAACAACAAACATAGAACACATAAACCACAAGTAAAACATTGACATGGAAACGCAAATCAGGACAGGAACGAAAAATAACAGCAGACACACAAAAACATAAGCACATAACAAGCGAAAACAAAACGGCCGCTCCTGAGGCACGTCTTTTGGTCGCATTCTATTTTTGTTTGTTTTCCACCCAACAAAACGAGATAACACGGCAACAAGAGCGCAACTAAACGTATCTAAACCAAACGAAATACACTTTAGGAAACACACCAAGCACGTCGATACATGCCAAGTACCTCCCACGGCCACTTTTTTTTTTTTTTTTCTGTTGTTTTTTTGTTGTGTGTTTGTTTTTGATTTCCAGAGCTTGCGGTGCATGCGGGCTCTTATATAATTGTCGGGTTTACCACCGCCTGAGGCCTTCTATTTTCCTTGCTGTTTGGCTTTGTTAAGCATGGCATCCGTCAATAAGCTAGAGTTGTTTGCGACGAGGGGTTCGACAGTACTCATGTCCAGAAGCAAAAGACAGTCGACAGATGGTTCACCAATGAGGTGTTATGGCACCACGTTGAAGAGGTGGAGGGGGTTGGATCTGCACCGCTACGATGCAAGGAGAGCGCTTCCCGCATTGCCCCCCAGTCAGGTGGCGAGAGCAGCTCATCGGGCCAGCAGCACAGAGCAGCAAAAAACAAAGAGACGAGGTTTCGGTCAGTGCCTCCTTGAACTTGTCTGCAGTTCGAGCACTCGTCGTCTTGTTTGGGGGTTGAGGGCTGACCTGTGCCGTGATCCTGCCGGGTTTCGTGTGTGATTCTCTTACATCCAAAATATGGTAACTTTCTCCGATGCATCTTGGCGTGTGGCACCCGAAGGCCGAGATCTGAATCTAAACAGTTCATTATCGTCGTCGTCTTCGTCATCACCACCATCATCACGACTATTATCCTCATCATCATCTTTCTTCGCTACTGGCACGCTCGTGACACAAATCAAGCAGACTCGTGAAAAGAGCAGAGGACTGACTGACTGCGATCAGAATGTCACCATCAAGCGCAAAGCAACAACAAGAAACAGTGTTTGTTTGTGTTGACAGCCCTTACATGCTGAGATAGCGCAGCTGAAGCTGATCTTGTAACCACAGGCCTTAGAATATCATGCGAGTCAAGCTTCCAAGTTCAAGGACTTTGAGCGATCATCTTCCGGTACTGCTGGGCATTTTCAAGCAGATACTGGAGGTCGCTTCCTCCACCTTGATGCCGTGCCGCCTTGCAGTGCCTTGAGAAAATCAGACTTTCCGGTCGCACATTTTTGTACAGGCTGTGGCCGTGCTGCACAAGCATGATATCGTGCACTATGATCTCAAGTGCGACAACATCATGATTGAAGCAGCTCACAAGTGTGTGCCCCAGGAACTTCCTTAGACTCCACAACACCATGATGGAGCCTGGCTGTGCAGATCAATTGTGCAGCGTTCATCATGCCTGCGGCAAGGAGCATCGAGTCAAAGGGACGGCGTTGCCAATGTCACCAAGTTAAGCCAAACCTGTAGCGACTTTCAAGTGACAGGTCCTCCAGTCCGGGCAGCGACATCGTCCCTTGCCAGCAATCGACGGTAAGGGCGATTGTATCGAGAAGCCGCAAAGGGGCTGTGTTGGGCAGGTCCTTATCATGAGCTGTGGAAGTGAGTGGCCCTATGCCATGCGCACTTGCATCTCCCTCTCCGTTAATTCGGTGGCGGAACATGATAGCCAACACCCTCCAGACCCCTCCCAGCGAGCGCAGCAGGATGATGGCACCGTCGCGGAATCGGATGGAGCAGAAGAGGCATGCTTTGGTTGATATGCAGACCCAAGCTAGTCCTGGGAAGGTTAAGTCGTTTTTGCCTCGTGAGCCGCCTGACAGTTGAATCCACCCAGCATGCAACATCATGCAATCATGCTGACCGATGATCTTAAGAACAGTCACACCCCTTCCTGGTGTGGTTGTGGCTGTTGTTGTTTTCGTTGTTGTTGTTGTTGTTGTTGTTGCTGCAGCGCGCTCAACATGAACACTGCGAAACAGCGGCCTAAAGGGAAAGGTAAACGTTCTTACCAGAAGGCGGCACGAAAGGCTCTACAGGATGGTAGTGCGGTGTATAAAGGGAGAAAGATGTCATCGGCAGAGCTAGGAGTTACTCCAGCCAAGTGCAGGTCGCCTATTTGTCATGGAATGCTCCCTAACAACAGCAGCCTGGGAGGAGTTACCCTCCGTGCGCTCAGAACCCCTTCCTTTCAGGAGGACAAAATTGTAGCCATTCAGGAGACCCACTGGACAGGCAGCTGGCAGTTTACCAAAGAGGGTTGGCATGTTGTGAGCTCAGGTTCAACAGGAGAGGAGGGAGCCGGAGTTCTCGTCATGGTACACTCATCTGTTTGCAAGCAGCAGGCCCTCAGATACAATGAAGTCATCCCCGGACGCGCGCTACAGGTTCGCATTCCCGGAGAAAGCATCTCTCTTGATGTCTTTAGCTGCTATCAGTACGTTTGGCGCTCAAAGGAAACGGTAGAACAGAATAAACAAATGCTGCAGCAGACTCTTCAGTCTCTGGGCTGTGCGCTGAGAGCTATTCCCAACCGTAACACCCTGTTGGTGTTCGGGGATCTGAATACATCCCTCAAGACAGACATGAAGCACGTAGGTCCCTGCACTGCCGACTGGGGCATCGGGGCACGAAGGATCTACAGCGACCCATAGAAGACCATCAACTTGTAGCGGCCAACACGTTGGGCACTCGAAGGCTCGCCACACACTGCCAAGGCAACTCAGTTTCCCAGTAATTCGCCTTAGTACGGCTAGCACTATCGAAAGGCCCTGGTAAGCAGTGCCAACCACAAAGGAATTTTCCTGTGGCGCGGTGGCGTGACGGCAGTAAACATGTCCCGCTGCTTTGCAAAGTACAGCACAGCAGGAATTACTCCGCTGCTCAAGCAAAGCTTTATCATCAACAGAAATGGAGGATTGCTACAGGCAAGGCTCATCCAGAGTGGAAGCATTTCGGGCTCACGTCGAAACTGCTGTTTCTAGCCTCCCGCATTCCTGGGGGTCTCTCCGCCAAATCATGAGTGAAATATTGCAAGAACATTTTCCTAAACGCAGCAACAGCGAACCTCCGCCAGATGTCAGTGTATGGGAAGCAAGAGCAGCCCTTAGATCGCCGGCTATCACCATCAGAGTCATACCAAACTCCATGCCTGCACTGCAGTTTCGTATTGTCTTCCGGTGCTGGCAAGCGTTAGCCTCACAGAGTACTCAAGCAAAGAAAGCCAAGCCGATGAAGAAGGAACGGCGTCAGCAGGAGATTGATTCGCAGCTCCTTCAGTCAGAATACAAATCAACGCAGGACGGCAGCCACTCCCTTTACAAAGCAATAAAAAGACTTCGGTCAGGCAAGCCTCAGGAAAGGGTGCAACTGAGAAACGAAGCGGGCCGCTTTCTCACTGTTGCTGAGGAACGCAAACAACTCGAGGCATACTCTCAAGACCTTTTTGGTTCAGGTACGGCTTCCCTTTAGCAGGATGCCAGGGGAGCCTTCAAATCACTCCCACAGAGGCGCGGGATCAGCTCATGACGATCAAGGTCGGAAAGGCAGTCCCGAGAGACAGTCCTCCAGTTGTGGCATGGCGCTCGCTAGGTCCCAGGGCTCATCAGTTCATTGCTGACATTCTCAATCAGGAGGTTGAGTCAGGAGAACTTTCTACAGGCCTCACTGCCTCGCAGATCTCTTGGCTCCCGAAGCCCCCGAAGAAACCTGACAAGCCGGCGTCACTCAGGCCAATTGGAGTCATCGCTCCAGAAGGGAAGATTTTAGCAGGCTTAGTTCGGAAACGCCTCAAGACAACCCTCCAAACAGCTATGACAGGAGTCTCCCAGTTCGGATTCGTTCCAGGACGTGGTGCGGAAGAGGCCATATGTAGAGCCGTCTCCCATGTCGATCAGGCCCGTCTTAGAGGGGGACCCAATTTTTTTGGCACTTTTATTTGTCATTTTTTGCAACTTTTTTTTGGCCCTTCCGTGGGCAGCAAGGAAGGAAGGAAGGAAGGAAGGCCCGACTACTGCCGTCAACTACTTGCTGGGGGGTTTCGGGTTTAGGGGGGAGTTGCCTACGTTCCCGGGTTTCGGGTTTAGGGGGGAGTTGCCTACGTTCCCATAGGTAAAACCAGTCATTTATCTAGTTTTAAGGTGGAAAACCAGGATCTTCTCGATATGTCCATATCTGCATCCGTAGACCTGTATTTGTGTATGTTTACTTCTACGTTTACGCGCAGGTAAACAAACGACTGAAATTGTCTTAGAGGCAGTTCTCTTTGTTTCAACACTAAACACCAAACAAAAAGAAATGCCTCCAAAACAACTTCACTCGTTTGTTTTCCTGCGTAAACGTAGAAGTCAACATAGACAAATACAGGTCTATGGATGTAGATATGGACATATCGAGAAAATCCTGGTTTTCCACCGTAAATCTAGATAAATGACTGGTTTTACCTATGGGAACGTAGGCAACTCCCCCCTAAACCCGAAACCCGGGAACGTAGGCAACTCCCCCCTAAACCCGAAACCCCCAGCCCCAGCCCCCCACCCCCCAAAAAAAGAGGGCCAAAAACAAAAAAAGAAAAAGGCCAAAAACAAATCTCCACTCTCTCAGAGCGGCGGGCTCGCAAAAGACCGCAGGACACGGCAACAGGGCTCTGAAACTCAAAGGAAGCCTAACACTCAGCGTGGACATGAGTAAAGCCTTTGATGCAGTGGATCGTCTCAGATTGAGGGAGGCCCTCGAAGCAGAAATGGCTGATCCCATTCTGATAGAGGTAGTGGGGCAACTGCACATTCGATCTCTATACAGAAAGACGGCATCCGAACAATCCTTCGAAATAACCACGAGGAGAGGGTTTTGCGTTCGCCACAGGACTTCTTTTCCGGAAGCTAGCTCAGCATATCAGCCTAGAAGAGCTTGCCAGGATCCTGACCATGTACGCAGACGACAGTCTCCTGCAATCTAATCTCACTCTGACTCTGAGGAAGATCTCATGATTGCATTGAGCTACTGTGACCTGTTGCTTGATCAGCTAGGAGAGCTAGGCTTCAAGGTAAACCCCTCTGAATCTGCGCTGTTGTTGCAGATCCATGGAGGCTCTGCCCAGACCATTCGGAGAAAAATCTTCAGATTAGTTGATGGATTGAGGTTCGTAGATCTCCCCTTAGGTCGTCTAATTTCGCACAAGTACCAAGTGACCTACTTGTGTATCATTCTCTCTTACCAAGATTATGAGATGCGAACACTCAAACATCGCCTCGCATTGAGCAACTTAGCAATGTCCGAAGTTGCACGCGCCGTCAGGAACCACAAGGTTCTGTCAGACAAACGACGACTTTCTATATGGACAATCACAGCCTGGGCTTCTGCCATGCATGTAGTACGTGTGACCCAGCAGGGGCTCACCCGCCTCCACTTTCCATGATGTATCAGCTTCGATTTGTCTTGCCGAGTTACTCCCAGGAAACAAGGGAATCGAACCAGGAGTTGCTCCGGCCGAAAAACATACCGAGTGTTCAGAGTCAGTTGAAGAAGAGTATCTGTATCTCACAGTTCATCAAACGTCAGCAGAAGGCAGACATTCATCTCGCCTCTCTGTACAAACCTCGAGCAGAAGCTGTGGTTGAGGCACTTTCGTTTCTCTCTCCGCCAGAATCCTCTTCTTTAACTGCAGAATACTGCAGACGATAAACTGGTGACTTGCAAAGAATGTGGAGCCTGCCTCACTGGCACTAGACCTCTACGTCGACACATGACGCGGTCGCATCCTGAGTCCATGATTTGCCTTATGGGCCCGAAGTTCGGGCTCGGCCACGTGCAGTGCATGTCGAGCTTCCTTTCAATCATTCTTTTACCTACGGAAGCACGTGGAAACCTCCGCGTGCCCGCGAGTAGAGCTTCTCCACCGGAGGCAAGAAGAACTCCCGCCAGAGCTCCAAAGTAAGCAAACCATCTCAGATCAGATCCAGGTTGAATCTGTCAGGAACCCAGATGCAGCAGCTCGAAATCCAGCCTTCCACTCTCACTTCATGGAGAGCTGTCTCCTGTGTGGGCAGTTACTGGCAGGGCAGAAAGGGGCCAGCATCTCAATCGACAACACCCAAAGGTGATGGGTAGGCTTGAAAAGCTTATCCCTCAGCGGCTTCAGCAGTTCAAGGTCTTCTTTCATAAAGGGGATAATTGCAGAGGGTAGATGCACCGGGCAGACACACACAACAATGTGTCCCATTACTGCAGGCCCACGTTCTGCAGGAAGTTGCACGCCAGCAGCTCAGTAAACAGCCTAGGATTATGAACCTAGCAAATCCTCTCAGACTCAAGCAAGGGGACCATCCTCTGCGTCTCCCCCTCAAAAGGTAGGAACGGCGGCCCCGACGTTCAAACTCAAAGGCTTCTTGCTCCTAGCTAACACCAGGAATCATTGCTATGCCAACTCCTGTCTCCAATCCCTACACTGGATATCACCGCATCTAAGAGACAGTTACGTTGAGCAAGCCAGCAGAGTGAGTCAGCTTGCACGCATCACACCAGAGCATACCTCACTCACTCCGATCACCACAGGATGGCATTCTGACGGCTTCCAGCACGACGCGGCAGAGTTTCTGATGCGAGTCTTCACGAATCTCCCCGGGCCGGGCCAGGCTTTGGTTCGTGGGAGACTCGTGCCTCATTTCCGGAATGGGTAATCGTGGACGAGGAAAGCATTTCTCCGCGTCACATAGATTCCCAGGTTTGTCCGGAAGCTCAACAAATG